TAGGTCACTATAATGCATGTGTCAAATTTGAATGCAATGGTAGATATCATTGTATACGAAAAACGATTCTGAACGGAGATGATTTGCATAGGTGCAACTAGAGGCCAAACACTGGGGGTGCTAAAATTATGTAGATGAAACAAACCCGTGGGGGCTATGCCCCCACACCCCAAGTACCATATTTCAATTTTATAAAAACTATAACCAATCTTAAATGCATTATAAAAACATAAGCACACTAATATTTACCTCATAAATACATTAGGTATATTACCTATATTATTATTTAGGTGATTCAAATAATGACCTAGTATAAACAGATAAATAATATTTTTTTTTTAATAACTGATGTCAAAATAATTACACAATTTACATTTTTAACAGTCACTTACATGAGACACAATCATCTCAAAGGTTAGGTAATAATACTATGTTAGTATGTTTACATAATAAACAATATTATACATAATATATAATATACTATTTTATACTAATACTATTTTTATTTTATTAGTGGAATTGGAATATATTTCCAATATTTCTTAAGAAGTAATTTTATAACAACATCTCATTCAATATTAAACAACCTTACGTAAAACAAAAAAAACTTTTTCATGTTGATTTTTCCATTTTTTGTGTTTTTGATCTGGGTTGTGCTAAATTAAAGGCTGGGGGAGCTGAAGCATCCCCAAGCACCCCCCTAGTTGCGCCTATGATGATTTGTCAATTAAGGATGAATAATTATATTACTAATATTTAAATTATAATATATTTTTATGCGTTCAAAAAATGTTTTATATATTGACTTTGTAGTTTTTTTTACAGTAATTTGAAGAAAAAGTTATGGAGAACCTTGTGTTGGGTTTTTGAACTTTAAGTATAAATAAAAAGAATTTCATGAATTTTCAACTTCATAATTCCATGCAAATTTTCGTGACTTTGATATATTTCGTAAACACTTAAACGTCTTAAACAGTTAAACAYTAAATGCTTATAAACAAAAATTGTGATTAACGATTTTAATTTTTTTTACTACGATAAGTACAACTTATAATAAACTTTGTATTCAATTTTAAAGATTTTTTGGACAACCAAATTTTGTTATTGAAATTCCAATAAGAAAAAACATAGAAAAATTAAAATTTTCAACTGTCTATAAATAGCTTGAAAAAGTCAAAAAAATTWGAAAATTTAATCGCAAATAGGTAACGCTAATATAAATAYTTGGTGAAATTTTCAAGTATTTATGATGATTCGTTTTGGAGTTACAGCAAAATAAAAAAATCAATTTTGTCGAAAACTGATTATACGTAAAAATTCTCGTTTTTACGTTATTTTTTTTAAGGTTTTTTCTACGCTTTTCAAAACTATTGGAAATTAGATGAATTTGGGCTGAAGTCAAAAATGGAAACATTATTTCTACTCCAAAATGTGATAGACACAAAAAAACATACGTATCATTGTAAAATTAATATATTACTCACTTCGCCTAGAATAAAAAAAAAAAAAATGTTTATCTAAGTTTGTCTTTCAGATGAATGATTTCAATAAAAGAAACTGTGGGTACTGGGTGTTGAAGCTTCTTACTTTTACAGTTATTAGAATTCGAAATAGCATAAATGATGAGTATATTTTAAATAATTTTATAAGTAAAAAACCAATAAAATATGTTAGACCTAGCCACCTAGGACATAATATGTAAATGACCGTGACGTCTATCCRCGATAATATGTTTTGTTATCTATCTCAGTTACATGTTATTATAATAAAATATTATCTATGTACCCGGTGTTATACTGATAATAGGTGTTATCATTATTCAATTATCAGAATTTTTCATTAGACATATTCACATATTCAGATGAAGAAAACATTAACGTCATTAACCCTTGTTAAATGTTTAATAAGTGGCAAGTGAAGTTGGATTGAATTTAAAATGTAAATTGTAACACCTGTAAATAAAATACCTTRCGGTCTTATTATATTTCGTCATTGACCTGAGTATAAAGTTTATTTATTTTATAAGTGTTATTGTTTACGCGCAATATTTTAATATAATCTAATAAGTCAAGTTCATTACATAAGTATTATAAATTTGATTTGTAGTCGTTTATTTTTTATTTACCATAATTGTTATTATATAATTTATAATGTTTGTGATGCGGCTTTGGCGTACCAGWATATTTGGAGAGAGTTTATTAAGAACAGTATGCCACAGCGTTCATCTTTCTGRAGTTAGACAATTYTCAGAACCCTTATATCAACAAAAAGTCAATATCAGATATAATAAATTCAAGGGCCATCCGTATGCCACATATGACGCATTGAAATGTTGGAACTGTCAGACGTTATTAGACATCAGACCTTGTCTGTTTTGTAAAAATTGCTCATTAATTCAGTCACCCAGTGATCAGAATTTAAATTATTTTGAGCTATTTAACATAAATGTTCAGTACGACATTGATACTGCACAGTTAACATCAGAGTTTAGAAAACTACAAAACCTTATGCATCCAGACAGATTTTCTAACAAAACTGAAGTGAATTTTGTCTTACCAATGTATTTAATTTTAATTATATCATATTTTTATTGAATTATGTTTTAGGAAGAACAAGTACTATCCGAATCATTTTCTTCTCTATTAAACAAATCTTATACAACTTTAATGAATCCACTTCAAAGAGGCATTTATATGTTAAACCTTGGTGGTTTGAGTGTTGAAGAAGATTCTATAACAATGGATACCACTTTTTTATACGAAATAATGGATTGGAATGAAAAAGTTGAACAAGTTGATACAAAAGAATCTTTAAAACACCTGAAGAAAGATGTTGATGATATGTTGTTTGTCTTATACACGTTAGTTGATAATTTAATAAGAAATATTTTCATAGATTATAATTAATATTTGTATGTTAATAGGGAATTATCAAAAGCTTTCAGCGAAAATAACCAAACTCAAGCAAAAGTAGTATTATCAAAAGCCAAGTTCTTTACAACATTGCTAGAAAAAATCAAAGATAAAGATGACTTATAAAAAAAAATTTCAGTATATTTTTCAAACTGCTAAAAAATAGTTTCAAAAATATTTAAATTAGAACATTTCAGACATTAATATTATTATGTTGTAAAATATTTATTTAATTTATTAAAAAAAAAAAATACATTAAACATTTTAAAATATTTTTTGTGAAATAGATAAATTGAGAGTAGCTAGTTGATTGGTCCACTTATCTATGGCTGCAAAACGATTGGTTGCAGAATCAACTAGTGTTAAACTTAACACTTGATTTGTCTGATCAATGCGCCCTTTAATGGTTCTACAATATGAATGATATCAAGTAAGAATAGTATTTAACAATATAAGTAAACCATGTTATACTTACCCATCTAGAATACACGTAACTAAAAGACTTTCAACATCACTTTCTTCAATATTGAGTTCTTTTGCAATGTATGGTATATGAACACGAGTATAGGGTTTAATTAATTTTATCAATACCTGAGTACGAATATTACTTAATAAGGCTRCAAAATAAAATACGTATTTAAGTATAATACACAAGTTTATAATTATTTGGCTAATTAGTCAATTTACCTTCAATGTGTTCCCTGATGAATGGATCATCCATTATATTTTTACGATGATTCTTTAAGATAGTTTCAAATTCTTTAATGTCATCATTCTGGTAAGCTTGGACTAAGTTAGTCATTGCTAATATTTCTGGATCATTTTTRTAAGGTTTAGCCTCTTGTGAATCAAATGGGTTGATACCAGATTTCATCAACCTTAAATTTAGATAAAAATTATAATTACTTTTTATAATTTATTATTAATATGGTTAATTTAAGACTGTTACATGTTTGCTAAAACTAGGTATTTTAAGCATGTTGTACGACGGGGACTTCCAGATTCATCGTAGTTTTTAAAAGCTTCAAAAAAATCAGTATGTGCTTTAGAGAAATGGCCTTCTTCTAAGTGCATTTTACCGCCACATTCTATAAAATATTTAACAAGTTTAATTTTTAATTTTGATTCTAATTATTTAATTTTTAATTTACCTCGAATAACACCCATAATCAAAGGATGTGGAATAGCAGATTTAATATGGAGAGACTGTTCGTAAAGTTCTTTTAATTTCTTGTTGTTTTTTTGTGCAGTATACATTTGTATTTCTAACGCATAAATTTCTAATAGTTGGGTACCCTTTTTAAGATCGTCTTCACCATTATCAGTCTAGATATATTATATGCAGTTTATTAAATAACATTTAATAAATAAATAAAATGAAGAGACACACACATATTGAAACATTTAGAATCAATATGTAACTAATATTGTATATGGRTTACAAATTATTTAGCAAATCCAATAAGTTTTTAATATTTAATAGTTATTAAAGTTTGTATCAGAAAAACAACTACCAACAAAAAACTTATCACGTATCACTTTAATGCAGTTGCTATGAG